TCCTCTTTTGGAAGACCAAACAAAGTAGTTTCGCTTTCACAATGAAACACACAGCGTCACACACGGCGGGCTAGAATGAGCGGAGGCCGGCGGTCTAGATTCGACAAAGGAGCGGCCGGTGGACTTGCGGCAACCACGTGATGACCCCGGGCTGGACTCCGCTTCGTCCACGGTGAAAGCCGATCCGGCGATCCGCAGCGCGAAGTTGATGTATTTCCTCAGCGACCAGCACGGATCAGCTCCAGGCATGACGAAGCGGATATGACTCTTAACTTTTATAAAGAATTTCTCTTTGGATTTGAGACTTTAGTCTTTGCAACTTTACAGATCTTCTTTATGCATCAAGAGCTTGTATCACTTCAAAGAGAAAGGAGAAATTGAAATCGCATCATATGACCCCTTTAATAAGAGCTTCCTCAAACACACATGACTCAACAGGTGTTACATTGTAAGCAGTAGTTTAGTTTGGTTTGGCTGAATGGAAACAGTAAAGCGTGTAATCTGCTCTGGTTGTGTAATCTTGGCCTGTTGGCCGTGGTGGGTGTCTGAGTGGGATTCTGAAATCAATAATGAACCTCTGCTCATACATAAGAGGTAGATGTCTAAGTCAGTCTTTTTAAATCGTATGTTTGTGGTTAATATGCTTATCTGAATGTGGATTCAAGCAATAATACTGTAGCATTATTTTCTTAGAGCATATGCATTTCCTAACCAGCGTGAGACAGGGAGGTGTTGTCAAGAGATTCGGGTTTACCGCTGGATCTGAATAATGAGATTTGTCAATCTCTCCACAGGAAAGAAAGGCAAGGGGAAAGGGAACTAAAGGGAGCAAGAGATCCAGAGGAGCAGTAAACACCCCGTGATCATCCGTCATCCAAACACGGCCTTTTATATCTCTATACTCAGTGTTCTTCAGCATGAGCGGAACTCGCACTACAGCCACAAACACATAGCTTTAGAAGACTATGACAGAGAACCAGTATTTGACACGTTACGTGACTCTTTGATGTGTGGGGGGAGGGGAGAATAAAATGCCGTTGTTTAGCGTGTGGTGCCCTGTAGTTGACCCATTCCTCTGATGTTTCCCTCCAGCACAGACCTCTCTGTCTCTACTATCTATCAGCTGTGTAAGCCTCAGGCCTCTCATTTGCTAAAGGACAACAATCAGTAGAACTCAATCAGACACATCTATTTTATTACTGTTTTACTTACAAATTTGGTTTTATGAAATTGTGTAATTTACAGGATTATATTACTAGTGGGGTATACAAGTAGTGTTTGGATAAGTCACTCTTCTCGTTTTTTGTATCCTAAAATATAAAACTGAGGAGTGTTGTTTGAAATAAATGATTTCTCTTTTTCTATAAAAGGTGTAGTTTATGTAAAAGCGAAAATACCCCAATACTGTTACTTTTCCTTTTGACTTGACTGTTACTAACAGACCTAAGGGTGACAGAGGGTTACCAGCATTAAACTGCACAGAGAGGAGACCGTTCCCTCTTGTGCAAACCTGTTTTATAAGCATTTAAGAAAGACAGTAGTAATGTTTTGTCACTGAGCATTGTGTGTTATATGTAGTGTTAACTAAAGGTAAATGAGTGATGACAGTTCATTATTAAAGACACTTGAGCCCTCCAAATTTCTCATTATGCAAACCAATATGTGTGTTTATGAATATGTAAAGAATAAGCATTCTCCTCTCCTCCTGGTCAGTGCGCTTAAGATCTTTATTAAGCTTTATGCAATAGAAAAAGAAGCATACACTCTTATGTACACTGGCTCTTTAAGGGCAGTGGTAGATAAGTCAATAATTACAGTGTGTTCATTCCATCAGCTTCACTGGGGTAATAAACATTGACTGCCCTTCAGCAGGTACAGTTAAATGGGGGATGTATTTATTAATCCCTATAATAATTTACATTTTATAAACATTTGAAGTGGCCGAAAGGAAAGAGAGCATGATGGGCAAAGTTATTTTGCTGTATTGGTCAAAATAGATTCAAAGGTTTGACCTTTGCTTTTTTCAGAATTGCAGAAGAACAATATTTAGTAACCGATCGGATTGCATGATTGAATTTCTTTAGTACAGTTACAAAAGGAGTTATAGTTTCATAACTCACTTAGAGATAACGATATTCCAATGTGAAGCCTTCTTAGAGGTTGCATCACAGTTGGGGATACTTTTTATAAAAGCACATCTTCGAATGAGTAAGATTTGTAGTGAACAGCCTACTTCAACACAGTTCATGTATCAGAAGAAGACCAAAGCAATTGGCAATTTGAAAACATTCAGAAAAATGGAAATCTGGTTTTAATTTATTTTTCAATGGCACAATAGTCACTTAGTATTAATAGTCTGTATTTACTGCTCATTAAAAAGAGATTCAGGGCTGGTTTGGAGATACAGACACTATGCATGGAAATTTGATGTGTATATATGAGGTAGAAACATGAAACCAAACCCAAGACGTTGGGAGAGGTAAGTCTCTGCATCTTAACATGATGCTAATGAATGAATAACCTCTCTTGCAGACCAGGCCTAATAACAGAACAGAGCGCCACGACCTCTTTGGTTTAATGCTTTAAAGTCTGTAATTGCTGAAACTAGCAGCTTGTGAATAATGCAACAATATGAGCCCTAACACATCAACACATTTCTCCCTCTGTGCTAATTCTGACCACATGTTCTCAAACAAACTGGGAGATCATTCCTTCTGGTTTACATGCTGCAGTTTCATCAGTTACAAACTGTATTTAAATACAAACTAGGCGAAATTATATTGCACCATGAGAAAACGATATTATGAAGTGGGCATCTACTAAATCAACATTGTGTTTTACAGGGGAAATAAAACCAATTTTCCATTTCTCAAATTTACGGACAATCCCCGAATTTAAATTAAATGCTTGAAATTGAACATCTTATAAACAGGTTAAATAAATGTACTAGTCTTCTTTTTTTTTTTTCCGAAGTATCTCACAAATTATAAATGGTTTCAACAGTTTTGCATACAGACAACAATACATTTAATATTTAATCTGTAAAATCACACGAAGATCACCAACTAAATACAAGAGGAACACAAACATCCAGACATCAAATGCAGGGAAGAAATAATACTTTCAAGAGCATATATTCATCATAACCAAACATATTTACACACCTCTGCAAGATCAACCCTTTACAGTGACATTTGACATTTCTCAGCTCAGTATAGAGTGTCTCATCCCATTTAAAGTCTATAATGCTTATCCCAATCCACTGAGGAGATCCTTTTGAATTTTGACCTATTCCAGAACCTCAAGAGGATCACGCTGAGGATAATGATGACTACCTTCTCCCAAGCTGAACCACATGCCCTGAATTTGTCGCTCTGAATGTAATGGACTACACAGCTGTTGTGGTCAGCAAGCAGCTTCAATCTTATGACTTCCCTCATTTGGAAAGTGGAAGGTGCTGGTACAGGTGCATCTCAATAAATTAGAATGTCGCGGAAAAGTTAATTTATTTCAGTCTGAATCTCACTCGGGAGAACTATGCTTTCTGGGACAGTCAAACAGGAAGCTTTTCCATATGTTATCGGTTCTGGTTGTGATATGTTCTCCAATCACATCTTCTTCACCTCTGTATGACGAATCTGCATCCTGTCACAGAAGTCTGGGTCAGAAACAGTGTTAATACTAACCAAAAGGACTTGATTGATACCATTTGTGCTGTACTGGGAATTTAAGTGAATCAATAAAATCCTGTAATTCATCAAGTCTCTTTTGGGTTATATTTGCTGCGATTCTCTCTCTTCACTTTTGGGAATAATGAGCCATGACTGTCCTCTCTAAAGCAATGTCATCTTCACATTACTGTACTGCAAAATTCCAGTGGTCTTAGCAGTGCAGCAATGATCAGATTACTGGAAAAGTCATTTGCTTCATGACCTCAGCTTGATTTCTTCAGTGATTCAGTCTCTTGTCCATTGTTCCATCATCTTCTTGTAAACACTGATTCCTTAAAACATAAACTTTTGGTTATGACACACTGTTTCAGCGTTATGGGACTATGAAGCCTCACAATGTACTGCACAGTGCCTTCCAAAGTTTCAAAGGTATCAGGGCCAGAAGAGCCGGGACAGCCATTGTACCTTCCATATCATACCCTCCATCTCCGCTGGCTGCTTCTTCCCTTAGTTCATCTGGTGCCGATGTTCTTATACTGGCACATGAGCAGGTTTTTGAAGGTCTTTTTGAAGGTGGCGTTACAGAGTGCATAGCAAGCGGGGTTGATGGTGCTGTTGACGTAGCAGAGCCAGTAGCCAATGGCCCAGACTGTGTCTGGAACGCACGAATGGCAGAACGTGCTGATTAAAACCATCACATTGTATGGCGTCCATGTGATAATAAAGGCCAGCAGGATGGCGAAGATTGTCTTTGTCACTTTCTTCTCTCGTGCCGCCATCTGCCTTTTCCTCTTCACCTGGCTGCGGGCGATGCTGGCAAACTTGCGCACCACCGTGCGGGGACGGCTCACGGGGATGGAGCGCCTCTCGCCGGTACTGTTTGGTGGGACGATCTCGATGGCTGTGATGCACTCGTCTCCTGCTTGTTTGGTGACTATCTTGATCTTGGACCATTTGGATTGAGGGTTGACTTTAGGGGCGGCTGCCGGAGCGGGTGTCAGACCGGCCTCTGAAGTCGCCTCACTGTTCGCTCGTTCTTTAGGCTCTTTAGGTGCTATGCTGGCCGTGCTGGACTCATTTGAGCTCTCCTTCTCCTCTGGCTGCACGCAGGAGTCGGCTTTAGCGGACACCACAGACTCATCTAGTTTGCCGTTCTTCATGGTGTCCACCGTAGAACAGGTATCCAGGCTGGGCTTAGGAGGAGACTGGTTGTTGTTGTTCTGCTTTAAGATGTTACTCTTGAGTAGCCCACTAGACTTCGGGCCTTTCTTCTCCTTCTTGGCCTCAGGCTTCTGCTTGGACACACGGCTGCGGCTGGCCAGAGAGATGTGCACATAAAGCACCGTCATGATGACCACTGGCAGGTAGAACGCAGCGATGGCCGTGCCGAACGTGACCGCGGGGTTGGAAAGGAACTGGATGTAACATTCGCCAGGCGCTACGGTCCGTTCTCCGACGATGAACTGCCAGAACAGGATAGCGGGAGCCCACAGGATGAAAGACAGGATCCAGGCGGAGGCGATCATGAGGCCGGCCATCTTGGTGGTTCTGCGTGTGGGATAACTCAGGGGTTTGGTCACACAGAAGTATCGGTCGAAGCTGATGATTAACAGGTTCATGACAGAAGCGTTGCTGACCACGTAATCCAGCGCGAGCCACAGGTCACACACAACAGGGCCGAGCGGCCAGTAGCCCTTGATGATGTAGACGGTGTAAAGGTTCATGGAGAACACACCGATGATGAGATCTGCACAGGCCAGGCTGAAGAGGAAGTAGTTGTTGACGGTCTGGAGATGTCGATTGACCTTTATTGAGAGCATGACGAGGATGTTGCCCACAACGGTGACAAAACTGAGGGATCCTGTGACCAGTGCGATGAAGACCATCTCCACCGTCTTGTAGGGGCTGTCGCCGTCTGCCTCAACCGCTACACATGAGCCATTGGTGCTGCCGCTGTCACAACTGAAGTTGGCATCACTGGATACGTTGCTCAACGAGCCTGAAATATACACACACAACAGATAAATAAATGATTTCAGAATGTGTGGATGCAATCCTTTAAACCTTTAAACTAATCATAGACTGATAAAAATACAGGCAGTGTTTGCATATGGAGAAACAGCATGACATTCATTATGATGCATACTACTGCAGAACATTCATTTGCATCCTGAAATATAAATATGCTGTTTATATTAAAAGGAAGAGACCCAGTTCTCCATGACTTCTGTAATCGTGCCCATATGGAAAGAAAGAAATCGGTGAGGAAAATCCTTTGGGATACTCTTGTACATTTGTTTGGTAGAATGTGACCCAGCTGGCAAGAAGTAATTCAACAGCTCTGAAATCACTTAGAGCTGTTACAGTTATCATGAATCATACAGCCCTATACATCTAAGTTTAATTTACTTTTTTTTTTTCTTGCAGTTTTGCAGGATTGTGGAGCCTGGAATCAAACATTAATTCAAACATTTCTTCTTCTTGAACAGTGTCTGGTGTTCTGCTGAATTTAAGTGACAGTCTTTAAATAATTCCTACAGAATACCAAAATGCTTTGATTCATATAAAACTGTGTAAACTCCATCATCTATCTAACCTCTGGCACTAACATCTGACCAAAGAATGGTCATTAGGGTAAAAAAACAATGTACTTTTATATATGGTATTTATTTTTTATGTTAATTTATGCAAAATGAGTTTTGTTCAGTGTTATTATTAAATACAAACCAGATGTTTTCCGTCATTTATTATGAAATATTTGGTAACAATAAGGTTCAATTCATTAGAATTAGTTTATGAAATAAACATATGTATGTAAACAAACATATATTAAAAACATAAAAACATATTGTATATAAACATTGTATAAACAATGTGGTTAATACCCCTTTTAACATGTAATGTTATATAAATTAACATGAATGCATTATGAACAAACATTAATTGACAATAAATAATTATATATTTATAAAATAACATTAACTCAGATTAATACATGGGGTAAAAATTGTTGTTCATTGTTAGTTCATGACACCTAATGCACTAATTGAAGCTTATTCTAAAATGTTACCAAATAATTACTGAGCTACACCTTTTTTGTGTTGAAATCTGGCAGTGTGAAAGCATACAGGCGTTAGGCTGAGCAGTCTCAGGTGAAGAGAAGATTAATTAAATCCTCATGATTAATAACATGCTCATGTTTTATTCAGATAAAACAAGCTTGACTCCTGTCTTGAAAGCTGCCCTGTCGTTAAATTCAACTAACCCCCTGGGCTTCCTAATGATCTGAGCTGCTCAGGAACAATTCAAGACAATTATTTGACATGGAACCCTGAGAACCTTAGTGTTGAGAAAAAATAACCATCTCAAGCCTGTGAATTCACACCTCTGTACACTCATTTACTATTTGCACACAGTTCATAAAATGAATATTTATATTGCTTGTTTATCACACATATTCAAGTAAGGATCTTGTTTTATAAAATACTGAGGGTTTTGACATTGTGAATGTGAACGTGGGTTGCATTTCTACAGGTTTCGTCATGATGCATGCTAAACTTTACGAAAGGCAAGAAAAAGGCAAGTAAAAAACATACATAAAAAACATAGCAATTCTTTTGAATGCATAATTGTGAGAAGGTTTTGCTTTCAGGTTATGAATCATCTATCGCCATAACCTTCATGTATACTGAGAAGCTGTCCTGTTCATACTGAAAGTATTAATGTGCAAAAACCTGTTTAAGGCGACTCACTAAATGCCCAAAATACAGTAAAGCAATGAACGCAAATATCTTTAAGTGTTTGACTCTCTTTACCATTGCCCTTTTAAATTTCTAGAGAGTTGTTTCTGTCATATCTTTTGAAGGTTGCCATCTTCTGGATAACCAGAGAAACTACAACCCATCACCATGAATAAACACGGCTAAAGACTTGCGAAGTCTGCCTCCCTAAATTATTAAATGCTTTAAACTACTCTTGATGAGTAAAGACATAAAAAATCTTTATTACTATTCGATCTGAAATCAGTTTCCCACCAGAGGAAGGACCCCGACCCGATCATCAGCAGGCATCAAAGCGCTGCCACACTCTGGACGGTCAGACACCACATATCCTATTCCTTTTGAAAGCTTCTGCCAAACAGACACACATTCTCTCCTCCTCGCTCATGCCAAAACAGATCACACTTCTTAAAGACTGTGGCCATTGGGTGCATTCAGTACCTGGGCAGTCGTGGCCTAATGGTTAGACAGTCAGACTTGTAACCCGAAGGTTGCGGGCTCGAGTCTCAGGTCCGGCAGGAATTGTCGGTGGGGGAGTGAATAACCAGCACTCTCTTCCACCTTCAATACCACGACTGAAGTGAGACCCTTAAGCAAGGCACTGAACCCCCAACTGCAGCAATATAGCTGCCCACTGCTCCGGGTGTGTGTTCACTACTGTGTGTGTGCACAATGCAGAGCACAAATTCTGAGTATGGGTCACCATACTTAGCCACACGTCACTTCACTCACTCACTCATTAGAAAGTTGATATAGTTTGGGTCTGGCTCTGTATTTTCCCCTCGGGTGCAGGTGATTCAGGGAGAGCTAGGATTCTTTACCCCTTATCAAATATGAATCAGCAGTTACTCAACTGTGGATTCGAGCAGAGCGGAAAGATAAGTGCCAAGCCTCATTAAATATGAATCAAGAATATTCATCTGATATGACCGTGGGAGAAAGCTCTCCAGGACTGTTTTATTTAGCTTTCTTGTACAATTTGACTGTACACAAACCCCAACCCCTAAAACCCCAATACTCCAGTGAAGCAGAACAGCTGAGGACTGACTAAGTGTGTCATGCTGCTACAGAGCCAGGTAGGGCTTCACGATTATGACAAAAATCACAATTGTCGATTATTCCCTTGAAATTGTAATTGCAATTATTAATTACGATTATCACAATTTACATTGAATGATGTTATATCATTGTTTGAAGCAACCGCATGCCATATTTTTTAGATGAAAATAAACAAGCTGAAAACCCTCAAACTGAAAAACCTTTATTGCTTTTCTATAGTATTAAGCCTCAAATAACATCTATTCATTGGATTGGTTTCTTCTTTAAATAAAAAAAGGTAAAATATGCATGGTATTATAATGGCATATTAAAACCAAAATGAAAACAATGGAAAACCCCTTAAGATAACTTGTAGAAAGAAAAAAAAAACAGATCTTAAGCACACAGAATAACATAAGTGGACTTTTAACGATTAATTGCCGCTTTGAACGATTACATAATTGTGACATCCGTAATTGTAATCGCAATTAGAAATTTGATTAATTGTGCAGCCCTAGAGCCAGGGTTAGTATATTTTATTCTTTTTTAATTTCTATTTTAGTTTAGTTTATAGTTTTTAAATTTCAGTTTATTTAGTTTTCATTTTAATTTGAGTATTTTAAGGCAGCCAAAGTTAATGCACTGATTAGTATCATTTAATGAAAAAAATCTTAGCAAATATTGATCCTTATCTGTTCTACTGTCAGTACAGTAAAAGTGCAGACAGAAGCTATTTCTCAGACAACATCAGCACAATGTGTCAAAAAAGGGCAGAATCTCATCACAACACACATGCACATGCTCTGTTGCACACATCACATGCATGCATCGCAGAACCAGAGGCAGGGTGTGAGGCTCGCTCACATACACAAGTCCTGCACGTATGGCCAGTTGAAAAGCTCCACCACATCTCTGTAAGATCAGCTTCGGTTGAAAGCTTGACTTTTCTGCCTGGCTTCCTCTGATCTGATCTGGCAGTTTGTCATTAAAAATCTCACAGTTGGAATCAGAATTCATAAACGGAATAATACCAGTAGAAAGCCTAGCATTCAAAAATGAAATCTGTTTACACAAACAGTCTGAGACACAGTCGTCCTCAAAGCGAATGTATAATGAGACATTCAATGTCAGGACAAATTGACACTCTCTCTGATGGCTGCATTTTCTTGGTGTGTGCTTTACATTCAATGATATTTATTTCTTTCCATAGGTCTGTGTAAGGTTTTTTTTTTTCACCCATGAAGACCTCTATAAAACACTGTCCTCTCAATATTGCACGGAAACGTCACCTGAAAGACCCGGCGATGTTTATGTTTGTTTGTTTTGTTTGAGGGTTTTCCCCTCTCCTGAAGGTTAATACTCGGAGAGTCAAAGCTCTTTGAGGATGGACTGACATTTGTGTGCTGAGAGGGTGGCTGAGCTTTGAACCAGCACAATACGGCACTGACTCTCATGTCAGGAGATAAAAACAGTCTGGAGCATTTCGACATGCTGACAAACATCTCAGCAAAGCCTGCACTAAACATTAGATTCTTGCTGTTACCAGTGGATTTTGACTGCACAATGAACATCAGCACAATGTGTCAAACACTCAAACATACATCCACTTATAGTCCAAGAATAAAATATTGTGTGAGGAACTGTGAAAGCTTATTCATGGATTCGATCTGGGATTTTTTTTTAAAAGGGCCAACAACAAACATACACTAAACCACACCAACATCTAGTAGTTTAACCTACCATAAATGCATGATGCAGCCTCAAAATGGCTAAACAATTATTACATGCACAATTAATCAAGTATGAGCGGCATCTCTTTTTTTGTGATGGGATCTCGTTCTGAAGTTCTCACACAGCTGTGGCTGTGGAGCAGGATGCAGATGCAGAGAGGGTGATCAGTGCTCAGCCTGCAGCAGTGAGATATGAGGGGTCTGATCTCAGCTGGCTCTCAGCACCGCAGCAGCTCCGTGCCTGATCACAGCCCCATGCCAACACCACACAGATGTATTCCTCTGCCTCATTCTGTGTTCCTCAGCTCAATGTCCTAAGCAAGTCGATACAGGACCTGCTTGACAGAGCTTTGAAAAACAATACCCATCAAAACCACCGGTCTAGAGTTACCAAGAGGACAGAAATCTGTGTCTACAGAATGACCCCAGAGTGGTCACTGTGAGAGCAGTGATATGTCACTGATGTGTTAAGACGTTATTAATAGTGCTCATTTCTAACCGAACACCATTAGGCTGAAGCAGAGCTCCATGGCTTATATAATCATAATAATTCATCTACTTTTACCCGCCCTCACCTCTACTCATATCTCTCTCTGGTCACATTCTGCACATTAACTCCTTATTGATGACCCTTATCTCTCCCTCTCTCTCGAGCACATTCGCTCTGTTTGATGTCTTTTGTTCAAGTCAGTTATTAAATATATGTGGTTAGTCTGACAAAAAATCTTAAACACAAACCAAATCCTTCTAAATATATTCAAAACTGACATAACAAATCATAATAATAAATATAATAAATCATAAATAGCCATTATGTAATATTGCATATACAGTTACAGTATAAAAAGAGCTTTAAAACCATGAATAATTATAGATCATTACTGCTCTTTTTTTAAGAAGTATTAGAAAAAAGAGAGAACAAAACTACTAGAATCACCAGGTATTTTGTCACACCTTAACAGTGTTTGAGTCAGTACCTTCAAAAGCCTGTTATTGTTCATTGGAGACTGCCTTCTTTCTGCACTGATGCTAGGCATTTTGGCTGTTTGGCTGCGTGTACAGTGAGGCGGTGACATCTTGTCAGAAATACAGTGAAAGACGTTTCCAGAGTCTCCTAAGCGAGTCACAAACCGAGACTTTTATATAAGCTGTCATTCTCTCCGCTGTGTGTCTCCTGTGCTAAGCACTGGGATGCAGAAGACAGCAGCTGCTGCTCCAACACTTCTCTGCTTCACACACACACACACCGGCACACTCTTACTTGTTCATAAAGCTAAACACTTCTACTTTTAAATTTAATTGAATGACAAGAACAGGAAGGGAGTCAACTCAGCTGCAGAGGATTTGACTATGGATGTAGTCACACACGCTTGTCTGCACAAACAAATGCATGCACACCAACAAACACACGGATGATGCTCATTTAGTGACTCTATTGGGACTAAAAGCAGAAAGCCTCCAGTTACCAGCTGGCAGCTCGAAACATAAAGCCATCTGCTACCAAATATACTTTTCCCCACCAGTATAACAAAAATCACACATGAATATCTGTGAATTATCATAAACATCTATAACAGTGTCAGCATACGAATAACAAGCTGAAAGCTTCCATATAACCATCAAAAAAGTTTTTAATTAGTGTTTTAGTGTGGTGCAGCCTGTCTTTCCAGGACATTTTTCCAATTTTCATTGGGACCAGCAACGGAAAGCATCTTTGACAATCAAAAGTTAGAGTTTGTTAACAAGGCAACCAAGACGCACAGACAAATACACAGACGGCGCACAGGCCTCAGCAGATTCGGACAGACATCGCAGTGGGAGTGTGTGTGGGCTGCTTTGTGGTCTGTTCATCAGACTCCTCCTTTGATTCTGCTATGTGCTCATTATAAGATCCCCCATACTGGCCACTGGCAAACTAATGACTCTCCTTCTCTCTCCCACACTAACCCGATCTCATGAAAGTGCGTATAAATAGTACGGCAAATAAAAATGAAAACTCGTGGTATTGATACGCAAAAATGGACTTTGGCGTGTATATGCTACGCGATGGGTAAGATTAGGGTTGTGGGGTAGATGCGTATCATATGTACGCGAAAACTGTGTATCATATGCACGCCAACAAATTTCGTATCATATGCGCGCGAAAACTGCGTATTATACGCACGCTAAACACGTGCGTAGCATATACACGCCAAAGTCCATTTTTGTGTATCAATACCACGAGTTTTCGTTTTTATTTGGCGTACTATTTATACACATTTTCATGAGACCAGGCTCCCCACACTCACAAACACACACAATTCTAATTCTCTGCTAATTCTCTGAATATTGGATCGAAATCAGGCACAATGCCCTGCTGTGCTACAGTTTAGCAGCGCTGATTAAGCTGATCAGCACACAGATGAGCAAAACATCAAAAGCATCGTGACAAGTGACGCGGCAACCTTATATCAGTCATAGGCTTGACAACACATTTTAATGCGAGGTTTTAAACAACTAGAGAAGTATTCTAGATGTTTCTGATTGGTAGATAGTCTAAGAGAGATGGCGATGTGGGTGATGGTTTCCTGGTAACTGTGCCATCCTGAGCGGCATGAAAAGAACATTTGCAATTATTTACACACACCGGCCCACAACTCACACAGTTATCAGCATTATCCTCTCCAGTAGGTGAAAACAAATTTGTCTAAGTCATTGTCTGACAACTTCCAGTGGCATTAGGTGGTATTCATTATTGATAAGTGCAAAGGTCAGCATTGCTATTCTCCCAAGATGCTGAAAGATACAATACACTCTAAGTCAGTGTCTGATGACTTCCAGTGGCATTCATTATGGATACAGTAAGTGCAAAGTTCAGCATTGCTTTTCTCCCAAGGTGCTGAAAGATACAATAAACTCCATTAATACGGCAATTTGAGTCAACTCCCATGAGAAATGAATCCACATGTATGAAAACTCTGGAGATTACATACATAACAATTATACTAAATCAACCCAATCTGAACTCTTGGCATGCTACAGTCACAGCTGATCCCCAAACCTACAAGAATCAACCCAGGGGAAAAAAAAGAGATGGATTTGAGATGGTTTCAGAAGATGTGACTGGTTGAAATCCTTGTTGTAATGATAAATAAAATCTCATTACTATCAGTGCTTAAATGCACAGTTTCATAATCTGAGGTCTAAGTTTGTACTGTATGTACCCTCAAAGCAATTTGGTGCATGCTGACAGTAGAGGGCGCCATTTGGGATCAGAATCTGTTTTAATGTCCCATGAGAGGCTGCACATGATGTTATAACTATCCACTCAAGTCGTCTGCACAGAAATGATATACTGACAACTAAAATGTGCTGCGTCTGATGAAATATTTAGTCTAAAGGTGTCACAGGTGATGCAACTGTTGGTGACCAGTGGCAGGATGCTCAGGGCTTTGTTTAGAGCTACAAGCCAATCCTGCTGCTTCAGCTGTTATAGCTGTGTTCTCTCTCCCTGTTGAGATCCCACAGAGAACTGGCTGTGTCTCCAGGCATTTCATTCTTTTCTCAGAGTGTTTGTGTGTGAGTGTAACAGGGTAAAACAGCAGTATAGCGACACACTTTCTTCTGTGAAACTGGGTTAACACCCAGCCAGAGACAAAGAGAGCAAGAGTGAGGGAGAGGAAGAGTGAGAAAGCCCGACAGAGAGAGAGACAGACTTTCACTCTGGGGGATTCTTCTAGTACTTTACCAGTTCACACAGTGAGAATCATGGTCACAGAATCAAAGAGCCGTCGTCATGCGCAGCAGTGAGATGTGATTGAGTCGGTCAGAGATAACGGAACTGAGAGATTTGTATTCCTTTAAAACGCTCTCCAAGTGAACTGTGACTGATGCTCAGTCTTTTAGTTTCCTTATCCCATGTTCAGTGCCCCAAAATGCCTATGTTTTCTGTTTTAATGTCAGTTTGGAGAGAGGAGTCTGTGCAAGTATCTGAGGGGGAATGTGTGTCTGCTCTGTGGTGATATGCACTCTGCTTCTTATGAGCTTAAATGGCAAATTTGAGAACTGGATCCAATGCACAGAGTATTTAGATAAAATATAAACGTGCATTCTCTACTGCATATGGGATTTTTGATGGTTCATTGAAAGTGAGGCATTACTGAGCAGGGTTTACTTTTCCCACTTTCTCATCTAATTTCATCTATTTAAAACCAGAACAGAACAGGTGGAACAGACTGAAAGTCATTGCATGTTCAAATATACATTATATGTGTATATAGATTGATTGGGAGAGAGAGAGACAGACACAGAGAGAGAGGGTGAGGGAGGGGGAGAGGGAGAGATTTTAAGATTTTTTTCACAATTTGATTGTGCATCAAGCTTCACAGACGGAAATACAAAGTAAATGTTGTGGTGGGGGTATAACATTGGGCTGTGTTACTACTCTGCATTAATCATAAAGCACAAGCTACAGAAAGAGACCACAGAGGCTTGAGAATCAGGTTCTTATAGATCAGTTAACACAGTGGCAGAGACCCCAAACGCCAAACCAATAGTGAATTGGCCAGAAATGCCTTTCTGCCTAAAACCTACACTAATCTACATGTAAACATAAACAGTAATCTCACCTAAATGTCAATCAGCCCTTGTCAAATCCACCCTCAGTCAATGCATCAGGACATCCAGCAAAAATCACCACAAAATCACTCATCAGTCACACACACATACACACACTATGTTTAAGTTGTTTAATGTTTAAATTCCTTTTTCCCCCTGCAAAAGCATTACAGTAACTACATACACAAAAACATAAATGGAATAGGATATAATCATACAGTTTTTTGTTTGGAGCAAATTAGAGCCAAAACTGTTTACGGTAAAAGCCTTTGTTTTAATAACACACAAATAAACCATTTTATTTAACTGTATCTAGAATTAACAAAAGCATCATGGCATGAATGCAGTCACAGACAGTCCGTGTTTCTTCAAAATCGTGTTCTATTTTACCATGTAATGTTTAATTTGAGTAAAATATTTCAGATTGAACTCTAATAATTTACTTACATGTATGTTTCTCGAAATTTTAGAATTTGGGCTACATTTTTTGTTGTTCCCAATCTTTGCCTTGAGGTACATAGTGAATGGGATAAACTGGTTTAGCCATTTTGCTGGTGTTTGTAAGTACCATTAATACTTATTTCATATGCTTTTCCAGCTCATACTGACACGAGGTGTAAATGGACCTACAAAATTACATAAACTACTTAGACAATAACAGAAACCCTGAACATATGCATCGTGTAACAATTGGGTTTTTTGTTGGAATAACACCACTACATTCACAAATGTGAGTTACTTTGGACATGGTCTCAGTATGTGTACTCACACAATGCACACATTCATCGTAAGTTTCTTTTGTGATAAGAGTACCCCTATATTTTCTAACTCTTTCGTGTCATACTGTATTAAGCTTGCCGCCTTCACTAGCAACTTACCGTTGAAGTTCCAGGGCGCGAGACCCTCTGCTCCAGTGCTGTTAGTTAAATTCATGTTGCATGATTTTAAAAATGCTCAGCCAGCCAGAAGAAAAAAGAATCCAAGTTCTGCCTCAAGATTATTAGAAGGGCTGTCCTCATGTTGCGCGGGAGCACTTTGTTTTTCACATCATGCGCTCTTTACGCGCGAGGCTCTCGCCAGCGGTGAGGAGCTCATTAAGTCTCTGACCATCGCGCCTGGCTGCTCACCTAAACACACCTCGAGCGAATGGGTTTCTCTAGATCTAGTCGGTTTACAATCCGCCAGATGTGGCTCCCATCTGCGCGAGCGCCTCTGATCTCTTTCCAGGAGTTTATCGCGCGGCTGAGGCAGCAGACTTTCAATGATGTCATCCACCTCCAGCCAATCACCTGAGAGTCCGCAGGTTCGACTGAATCAACCTAGAGCTAGTACTGTCCTGTGAACCCAGCGCCGTCTGTTCCCGCAAACTCTAAAGCATCCGTCCAGATAAATGACAAATACATCACACCTACACTTCACTTACAAGCAAATAGGATAGTAGTAATTCGGAAAAGACAATTTGTGTTGCTCCTCGACAGACTGCACCCTGAAAATACCCAAATGAAATTCCTTTAAAACGTCGAGCCAATGACTGTCATTGCATAATTCATTCATTGCGTAAAACTATGAAGTCTAGGGGTTGGAAGAGTGTTTTTGTCCCACTCCATAATTTAGAGTTAATAGTCTTTAAAAACGTTTACAACCAGATCGTCTTAGTATTCCAGTTATTTAAAAAGACGCTCACATAGTACAGTTTAAAGGGGTCATATGATGCGATTTCAATTTTTCCTTTCTCTTTGGAGTGTTACAAG